AAAAATAAAAAAACTTTTAAAAAAATTATTGTTTAAATTAACTTACACCTACTTAGCTACCCTTTTTATCCAAAAATTTTTAAATGTATATATATATATATGAAAAACAAACATCCAATTCCACACCCACACGTCTCAACATAATCCCCACTAAAATTGATACCCACCCCACCCCTCCATCCCTTCATCCCTTCGGCTTCCTTGGTTTCTCCGTTGTAATTTTCCCTCATTTCTATCATTTCTCCTCCATTCAAGCTCTCTTTCTCCTCATCTACTCTCTTTTTTTCCAATAGATTTTATCCTTCTTTGCTTGAGCAATGAGCAGGGCTAGCAACTTCTTGTTTGAGCAGTGAGCAATGCGTGAGCAGTGAGCAATGCGTGAGCAATGAGCAATGCGTGAGCAGTCCTTCGGCTTCCTTGGTTTCTCCACTGTAATTTTCCCTCATTTCTACCATTTCTCCTCCATTCAGGCTCTCTTTCTCTTCATTTACTCCCCTTTTTCCAACAGATTATATCCTTCTTTGCTTGAGCAATGAGTAGGGCCAACAAGCAAAGAAGATCAAAGATCAAATTTTATGTATGGATTTTGGAAGCATCTTCTTCAATTTTTGTGGAAGTAAAATCGAGATTTCAAACGATTTTATTGACGATTTTATTGTTAAATCGTGATTTTATGTTCTTATGGCCTAATTTTATGAAAATCCAATTTTAATATAGATTTTACTCGAAATATATATTAAGATCATAAAATCGAATGATTTTACGATTTATAATGTGATTTTGACAACACTGGTTGACAAGATTGATTGCAACTGGTTTGGCACCATCTATTTTATGCTTCTGCAAGAGGTCATTAATATATCTGTGCTGAGAAAGAAATAAACCAGCAGAAGTTTTAAGTGCCTCTACACCCAAAAACAAACTAAGTTCCCCAAGGTCCTTCAAGGAGAATTTATGCCCTAACCTGCGAATCAAATCCAAGATAAAAGCAACACTATTCCTAGTAATCAATATATCATCAACATAGACTAGCACATAAATAACAATTCCAGTGTGGTTATGAATGAATAAAGAGTAGTCAGATCAAGAATTAACTAAACCACAATCAAGAAGAAACTTTTTCAATTTAGTGTACCATGCCCTTGGAGCCTGCTTGAGGTCGTAGATTGCTTTCTTCAATTTACAGACATGATGAGGAAGAGTTTGATCAATAAAACCTATTGGTTGAGCCATGTACAAGTCCTCTTCAACAGAGCCATGAAGAAAAGCATTGTTTACATCAAGTTGCTAGATGGACCAAACTTGACTCACAGCAATAGTAAATATAGTGCGAATGGCGGTGGGTTTGATAATAGGACTGAAAGTGTTGGAATAGTCATACTCAATGCATTGGTGAAATCCTTTGACCACTAACTACACCTTGTAGCGCTCAATTTCACCATTTTTGCCTCTCTTTAATCGGAACACCCATTTATACCCAATAACATTTTGTTTTGGAGATGGTAAAACTAAATCCCAAGTTCCTTGTCGAACCAGAGCATCAAACTCATCCAACATAGCCCTTCACCATTGAGGGTGACTCAAGGCTTGGCTCACACATGATGGCTCAACAGTAGCAGAGAGAGGTTGTTTGGTGGCAAGGTGTATCTATTTGGGCTTAAAGATATTATTTAAGGACCATGTGATCATGGGGTGAGTTCGGTGGGCGATGGGCGGTGGTGGTGGAGGGGAGGTCAGTGGTAACCCAAGTGAAGGAGATTTGGCAAGACCCTATGGCGGAGTGGAAGAGGTAGGGGACAAGAAAGGGGGAGGGGATTCTTAGATAGAGAAAGAGTGAGAGTTACTGGAGCAGGAGGGAAAGCCGTAAGTAGAGGGGATTAATGCATTTGTGAAGTCAGGATGACAAATTCCGGCATAGAGGAGGCAATAGTAGCTGATGGCAGAGACACTAGCAACATCGGGAGAGGATCAAAAGAGAGGCCAGTGACCGGTGCCAAGGATGAGGAGGCTAGGGAGATGGAGGGTTGATAAGGCATTAAAAGAGAAGAAATTGATTGTGGAGTATGGGTGAGATCAGGGGAAGATTGAGTTGGAGGGGTTTATTAGACATTAGGGACCCGAAAAGGAAAGTGATCTACATGGAAAATAACATGCCTTGAAATGAATATTTTATTAGTTTGAGGATCAAAACACTTGTAGCCAAGATGATCAATGGAGTAGCCAACGAAAATACATTGACGGGATCTTGCTTAGAGTTTACCTTGGTTGTATGGACACATCCAAGGATAACAGGCACACCCAAAAGTTTTGAGCTTTAAGTAATTTGGGCAAATAGAGAATAGTTTTGGAAATGGAGATGAGAAGGACAAGAAAGGGGTAGGTAAACGATTAAGTAAGTATACTACAGTTTGTAAGGCATGAAACTAGAATTGAGTGGGTAGTGAGCCATAGTGCCGTAAAGTGAGACTAGTCTCAATAATGGATCTATTACATCTTCCATAGATGCCATTTATTTTTGGAGTATAAGGTGGAGTGGTAAAATGAGAAATACCATTTTGGTGAAAATAATTTCAAAGAGCAATGTATTCCCCACCCCCATCAGAGTAAAAGTTAATTATTTTACACCCAAATTGGTTTTCAACTAGTGACTTAAATTTGAGGAAGATGATTGAGACATCGGATTTTTTTTGGATTGGATATAGCCAAACATATCAACTGTATAGATCCACAAAAATAACAAAAAATCGATTCCCATCAATAGACATGGTAGGTGCAGGACCCCAAACATCAGAAAAAATATATTCAAGCGGAGCATGGCTAGTAATGGAAGATTTGGAGAATGGAAGTTTATGGCTTTTAGAACAAGAACAAGAATCGCAATAAAAATCATCAGATTTATTTATTAATGGCAGATCAATAATACTAAGAATTTTTTTGAATATTTTAGA